AAGTGGAATTTATTTTATGATTAACCCACTTAGGATTTAATTAGGAGTCAAATGGAGATGTAAATTTAATCTGTTTCTTGGTGTTTGATTTCAGTTTGGTTCATTGACTCAATTGAAAGGTTAAGCAATTGTTTATTTTCATCAGATTAACTTTAAAACTTATCTGAATCTGTAGAATTGAAAAAAGTATAAGTCCTAAAATTATTTCACAGGAGGCTATCGATATTTTAGATTCTCTCCAATCTCAGTTACAAAAAAATGGCAGCTAAAGATGACCCCCTGTAATTGTGTTTTAACCTTGAAATTTTTGTTTCGTCTTGATTGTTTGATTTAATATTTGGAATTATTCAAAAAGTTAAAGAAATTAAAAAATACCTCGCGATTTGATACAATTTATAGAAAAACATGAGTAACATATGACTAATAAATGCAAGTTCAAACGTAGCTCTGACGTGACATATTTGGCTGTCAATTGTAAAACATTTTATTTGACAAGACGCTTTTTTGAGTATACCACGCAAACCGTTCTTTGCTTTACCATTCAAATTCTTTTTTAGCTCAAACTATAGTCCGTGGTTCGTACAAAAGCAGCGTTTTTTATTATTATAAATAAAAAACGCAGATTTTATTTGGCATCCCTTCGCTTCACTTCAAATTTGCAGCGTTTCATTACTATTAGCATATTTGAACGAATAGAAACACAAGTACTCACTCCGTCTGAAAGTCATAATTACATTCTGCACAACGCACAGAAAAAACTTAAACTTCCTGTTTTTTTTGCCATTTCGTTCTTGAAACAGCTTTTCAAAGCCTCCCATCTATTTTATACTTGTTTATAGCCAAGTTCGCAGACTGCACGAGTATTTATTGCCCATACATTTTTGAACTTATCTTATCTGTGACTATGGGTGGTACTACTACCATCACGAGTACCTACGGATGGTGCTCTTTGCGTCCCCTATGTCTTCGATTTATGAACAAACCAGTTGTGTTCCTCATAGCTGTTTCGGTTGCATCCTTCTTTCAGGTTAGTAACAAGTACGGTGTTTTTGATGTATTCTTATCTTAAATGCAAGTAAGAGGTAAGTGGTGAAAATTCATTATATTCAGACCATGAAAATCCATTATAATCGATTATTATACATGGAACCTCATTTCGAGAAGAGTTATTTCGATTTAGTTTAAATTTGAAGGTCAGCATTATTACAGAAATTTAATACGTTGTCCGATAAGCTATAAAGTTAATGCCAAATCGTTGGCATGAACGGCGACCTTGAGCAATTTGAACAGTAAGAAAACTGTTCTTTTTATATTATTGTTCCGACTTTCGATACGAAAGTAACGGAATATTTGTGCTCGCGGTGGGGTTTTTTTTCTTCAGACAAATTTCGACTTTTTAACTAGCCATTTTTGATGGATTTTTATACTATTCAAAAGGTATTGTTGTATTGAGCTTAAATTTGAAAAAATATTTCACCTGTGATCATTTTTGGTAAAGTTATTGCGGTTTAAAGGTTGCCATTTTGACCAATTTGGGACAATTAACGCGCGATTTTTTCGCGCTATTAACGTGTTAGTGGAGATTTAATCCGTCTTAGAAATCGTTCCAAATTGTTTGAAAGAAGCCTATTTGTCATAATTGATTTGTTACAAGGAGCAAAATCTATCCTTTTGTACTTTATATGGCTTGTGGGGGGATGATTTTCATAAAAAATTTCAAATTTTAGAATTTTTTTTTCATTTTTATTACATTTTATTAAACACTAAAAGGCAGTCGGAACATTCAGGGCTTCGCCCTGATACGAGCAGTCTTGTTTAGATTTTCGAAACGAATGATTGTGTTAAGATGTGCTCGAAGGAGTCAAAAAATTTATCTCACACGTCAAAATGAGCAGCAGTTTTAGGTTAATTAATTGAGTCCAGATTCGTTGACAGAAAATTTATTGTCAAGAAATATTTTGGTATTAAGTATATATCAGTCGGATCTTAGATGCTTGCAAGGAGTGATTCAAAAAATTTCAAAAATATTGTTGATATCTTTTTATCTTTTTAGGTCATTGAAACTCAGTTTCCAAGACAGTGTTTTAGGTTCCAGCTTGCGGGGCTAACTGTCACTCAAACTTTAAAAGCTAAATCGTTTTTGAATAATGTCGTTTCTTTGCCCAGCAAAATATTTCAAAAGCTTGGACATCTCCACGTGCATAAGCTACGTTTAGTTGATTGATCGTTTCAGGGTGCTATAATAAACGGATTCGTCAATGTCTCGTTGACATCTATAGAAACCCGTTTTGGAGTCGGCTCGAAGCAAGTCGGCTTCATTCCCTCGTCCTACGACTTAGCCGGTATCTTGTGTGTCATCCCTCTCGGCTACTTCGGAGGCCGAATGTCACAGACAAGGATCTTGGGATCCTGTCTGCTTCTCAGCTGTGTGGGTGCTGTGATCATGTTTCTACCTCACCTGTTCACGATGAATAAGCCCTCGCCGATGGATGCACTTAAGGATGGATCTGGAACAAATGCTGGTTTCTGTGGCAATTCCATTGAAGTAAGTTCAAGTTAACAATAAAAATGTGCATATATGAAAAGTTCTTTCGCTAGTTTTCGAAAGTTCGTTTGCAGCATGAATCTTTAGATACCATCTGTCGTTAAATTGACCTCTAAAAAGTAAGACAACCATCACAAATTTATATTCAAACAACTGTAACCATGCTCAATATTGACATCTAAGAATTTGCACAAAAACTTTCAAAGATTTCAACCTAACAAAATTTCTTCCTCAATGTCTTACAATTTGTTATATATTTTTTTGAAAAGTAACGATTCAGCGCCACCCAATCTGAAAAAAGTGCAGCTTAACAATATAAAGATTTTTAAATATATTTTATTGAAACTTATCTGATTGACTATGTTCAGAAGTTCATAAATCGCCTTTCATGTCTGAACCCTAGGTTTTTCCTACCTGAAACTACTGCTTGTCGGTTGCTCCCCTGGAGTTTGTTCTGTTGTGCATGAACTATTTTAAATATTCTGTAAATACCCAAGGAATAAAAATGAACTGAATTGGTTTGCAAAAATCAGATGAAGATTTATGACAATAGAAAAATACACAGATCATATTAAGCTTAAAAAGCATATTAGCTAGCTGCCTATTTAGTAAAAGCAGGGGAAATAGAGTACAAAATGTGTGTTCACTGTTCGCTAAATTTGAGGCGGAACAGTAAAAAATTTGACACAGAAAATGTTATAGGCTTTTTCAAAAATCCGAACTACGATTAATAAAAATTATAATAGGTTAAAGGCTTTTTCAAAAATCCGAACTACGATTAATAAAAATTATAATAGGTTCTCTCGTTTGAGCCGCAACGATAATAGGTTCTCTCGTTTGAGCCGCAACGATATTTCTTTGATGTAGTCCAAGTCGGCAGAAAAATTTCCACCCTACGCCATTGTTTTTAGCAACTCTACAAGAAAAGTCGGAACAATAAAAAACAAGGCAGAAAATAGGTTTAAACATTAAGAAAGATGAAAAAGTTCCTGAAATACAAATATTGGTCGACTCTTCTATTACACCACCATTGTGCCAACTTTGTTCCAGCTTTCATAAGAATGATAACAATTTCTTTTCTGCGAATAGCAGAATAAGATCTATGGTCGGCTTTAAGGCCTGCCTATATAGAATTAAATATCTGATTGATTGTGCTTATCTAGGTTGAGAGCAGTCCCAGTTTAGGCGGATGGGTGACATTGTTCTATCTGGGAATGTTCGTAATGGGATTCGGCTTTGGGCCATTATGGACTAACACATTCGACTACATGGACAAAAACCTGTCTCATTCAAGCTTCCCTATATATAGTGCTGTGTTTACTCTATCTGGGATAATTGGACCCGGATTTGGGTATATTTTTGGGGGGTTGCTGCTCTCGCTGCCTTTTGACGATGTCTTCAAGACCTCCGAAGCCTATAGCTCCATGTCAGACTCAGAATACGAAGCGCTAACTGAAAACACGAACTTCATAGGCGCTTATTGGGTCGGGTTTGTGTTCAGTGCCGTCGGGTTGTTTCTCATCTCGATTCCTGTTGGCGGCTTCCCTTACCAGTTTCCCGAATCCGAAAATATACGCCACAAGAAAGTGAACGAAGCGTTCGGCGCTACATCTCTTAACGAGGAGTCGAAACTTACTACTGTTGCAAGCTGGAAAGATTTCAAAGCAGGGATAATTTACGTGATTAAAAACCCAATTGTTATTTGCATAGCTTTTGCAGGCGCCATGGAAGGGTTCTTCTTAGCTTCCATGTCAAGTTTTGGACCAAAATTACTGCAAGTTTTGTTCAACTTCACCTCAAGCGAAGCGGCTTTGACTATTGGATATATTTTGATTCCCTCGGCTACTATTGCTTTAATACTTGGAGGTGTTTTACCCAAAGTGTGCTCGTTCACAAACCGTCATCTCTTATTATTTTGCTTTCTAACTTCAGTGACAACGTTTTTATCGACTTTTGGGTTCTTCATAAACGGTGGCCAAGCTGATTTTATTAAACCCAGTGATCAAGTCACGTACCAAGGTGTTACCTGCGATATTAGTAGTTGTGATTGTGATCGGTCAAATTTCAAACCCTTTTGTTTGGACAAGAAAACTCTCATTTTCAGCCCCTGTTACTACGGCTGCTCTGATGAAGTATTAACCAACTGCTCTTGTTACAACTCGACAATAAACAGTGAACTAACTTCGGGTTCATGTGAGATTTCCGAGTTCTGCAGCCCTTCGAATTTTTATGTAATGCTATTTTTCCTCACCGTTGGATGTTTTACTGTGTTTTTCAACTTGCCAGCTGCCGAAGCGGCTTTGGACAGATCAGTTGTGCCGAAGTTTCGATCACTCGCGTTCGGTTTCGATGTTTTCATTATGCGGTTTTTCGGAACTGTTCCGGCAACACTCGTAGTAGGCGCCATGTTTGACGGAAAGTGCACTCTTTGGCAGGTGAACTCCAATGGGGACAAAGGCGCTTGTCTTCGCTATGACGACTCGGTAGCTTCGGGATTCACTGCAATTTGCATCGCGACAACCGGCTTGATGTCTTTACTATTTCTAGCCGCGTTTTTATTTGAAAAATTCAAACGAGAAAAATTCATTCCTTGTGAAATTGGAACAAAACATCACGGGAATAAATTTCCTGGAGCCAATTCTACTTCAGACAAACCCATTGACGCGGTCGACAAAAATGACAACAACAACAGCCAAAATTACAGACCGGAACCAAATATGAACAGGGATTACACGCAAAAGCAGTCTGTACTTTTGCAAGTAAATACAAGTCTCTGACAATAAATTTTGGTGCTCATTTTGTTGATTTTTAGATTTTTAACTAATATACATTTCTCAATTTTACCATTCAAAATTTAACATTTCAGTGTTTTAACCAAACATCGATTATCAGCGGATCGTTTTTTTTTCTGGCGCTTACAAACCAAACAAAAACTTGTCAATTCATTTTTTCAAATACTACAATTCAGAGCTATATCCAGGAAGAAAACTGCTGAGCTTTTTTTCGAAACTGGCTCAAAAATAGTGAATAGGCTCATTCAAAACCAAAGTTTGGGGCCAGATTTCAGGCATTTAGGGCCAGATTTCAGGCATTTTCTGAAAAGATTTTCGCCCAAGTTGGTCTTTTCCACTAAAATATAGATCACTGTTGAGAAAAATTCAAACTTTAAAAGAATTTGAGCATAAACATAAACTGTGCTTTACTGTCTTATAACTTAATGTCTTATTGTCTTATAGATTAAATCGATTGCGCCGAAAAAAATGAGGCGACAATCAGTGATTTTTTACAAACTTCTTTTTGTTGTGCAGAAAACTCGAACAAAATATGCCAAAAATAGTTCCAGGCTTTTAAAAAAAATTTTATAGCTGAAGCTTATTGTTTTTTCTCAAATAAAAAACGATTTGAAAATGGCATTTGCAAATGCAATGTACCTACGCGGGTCATATATTTATGGGACATGGAAAATGCAACTTTTAGTTTTAAAGCGATGAAATTAACAATTTTTGACGTTTCTGCTTTTTTCTCTATAAATACTTCGGATTCGCGATCAACGTTTTGGCATATAATAGATGAAACTGTTGGTTAGACTATAGCCAAAAAGTGTTAAATGATGTTTTCAAGGCGTCGTTTGTCAATTTAACCAGAGAGAATCAGAGGGGTGTTCTAAGAGCCAAAAATTCCAGTTAACAGCAGAAGGAGTTGAAAAATTTGAACTTTAAAGTATTTGTTGGAAAACTAAGAATCTTAAATAAGCCCTCCTTTAATTTTTTACGTAGCTGCAAATAATAAATAAACTCAAATGTTACTATTTAATTTAAAAATTCCTCGAAGATTTAACCAATTTGTTTAAAGTTATCACAAAAATTTACATTCTTTGCATTGGATGAAAAACCGATACGAGGGTTTGACTTGGATCCGTAGTTTTTCAACTATTACTTTTTGTGTTCAAAGTTTCAAGTGTTTCTCCTGTTTAGGAAGACTTTTTTGGCCTTCAGAGCACCTCTCTGAGGTCTCTAATTAAGGAACAAAGACAGCTCGAAAAAAAATTGATGATTTTATTAGTTCATCCTCAAAAAACATTTTCATCTTTTGTAGGTTAGAGATTCAACCGTAATTGTCATTTCTTTGTAGAGAAAATGGAGAAAACTGGAAAAACAATTTTGTTCATTTCATCACCTGAAAACTGAAATTTGCAGCTTCTTTGTCCCGCGTCTAAAGTAACTTCTCAAATTGTACTCAAATGAAACTCAATTTCTTGTAAAAATACTGCATCTGGCTGGAATGAATTGAATATCTTACAGACTTAATAATTAATTACATGAAACTCGAAAGTTTCTCTGAATTCTACAAGAAACTTTCAAGATTTTGCAATCCACAATGCAGCTCAAAATTTTGTGAAACTCCAAATTGCCGCTCAAAATCTTGCATATTTCGTAAAGATTCATTCAAAATTTAGCAGTTTTCAAAAAGGCCGAATTCTTGTAAGTCAATAAATTTCGAAAAAGCCAATAAAGTTCTTATAACAAACGCAAAAAAAACGTTGTTTCAAATGCTATCTCTAATCATCGAACTATTAGTGTAGGTCTCTCTAAAATGTTCAATAAAAAAAAAAAATTTTGTTGTTACGGACTTGTGAAAGTTTCAAACAAAGTATCTTTTTTCTTGTTTGTCTTCCAAAAAATAGAACCTCTACTGGGAAACTAAGACTGTAACCGGGTTGGACTCAGATACACTTTTCTTGTGAGGAAATTATCCAATCTTTGCTGTATATAGTTTTTTAAGGCTTTATATAGTTTTTGCTACCCATCAGCAGTCTTAGAGCAAAACATCACGCCGGAGATAGCAAAAACATGTTTCTCTTAAGTTGAAACTCTGAAACGTTCGCTCTGCAATCTTGTCCGAAATAAATTTTTTACAAAACTTTCTATGAAAAATTGTACATGGAAATTGTTTTCTTAAAAGATTCTACAACATGTATGTATTCTCTAACGAAATTTTTTGCAAGAATTTTATGAAATTTTTAATACAAGTACAATTGGTTGAGGTTTTTTGTCTCCCAGTCTATGACGCTTAAAATGATGAATTACGCTGCTTGAAATTATTTTTTTTCTGAAAAGATTCTACAACACGTAGATTTTATGTTTTTAAAAGATTCTACAACATGTAAGTGTTCTCTAATAAAATTTCTCGCAAGATTCTTATGAAAAGTTTATTACAATTACAATGGTTGAGGTTTTCGTATCCCAGTAAAAAAGTGATTATATGAGATGAAGCTTAACATGATCAATTACGCTGCTTGAGAGCAACAATGAGCGACAATCTCAGTCCAGAAAAAATGGAAAAAAACTTAAAGACATCAATCAGGAGCGCGGCATCTACAATTGTTAACCATCTCAACTGTTTGCACGATGATTCTTTCCTCGAACACGATTGCCAAAGTTTTTTATGTAGTATTGAACGGTATCTTTTTGCCCGAACAAAAAACAAAGCGTTCTTTAAGAAAAACGGTTGCTGGGGTATTTTTCTATTTTTCTACTGGAGTTCGCGTGTCAAAATAATGCTATTTATTGGCAACACCTTTTCAAGAAAATCAAATAAACCGCATTTCTCTAAATATTTAATAAACAAGGTTATTTATTTGAAGTGTAATCAATGCGAGTCTGTCACAGTTCTTCAATTTCCCCCGGTATTAAGGCCGATAGCAATCCGTTTGTTACTTCAAATCAAGACAACTGTCATGATTTTTGTCTTCTGTAACGAGTTGCTGCTATGTCTGAGACAGTAAGTATTTTGTCTCAATTTGAACCCTTGGAACAAAATTGTAATTTTTTGCAGGCTATCGCAACCAAGTTGTAGCACTCATATCCAGACTATCAAATTTTGACCTGGGTGGACGCCTCCTTCTCTTTAGGGATTCGAACCCCTCTCTATTTTCGGCTAAACTTGAAGGGGAGCGCGCGCCGAAAACCGCAATTTTTTGGTCAAATTTTCCAAAAAGTGCCCAAAATATCCTTTCTGACGTGTTCAACTGCGGCGCAACAAAATTTTGTAAAAATTGTGTCTTTATAGTGTTCTGGGAGTGCCCGGAAAAACAATTTGGTCGACCAAAAAAAGCCAACAAAATATTCGAAAACTTATTGATCCAGACTCCCCCTCGAGAAAATCCTAGATCTGCCCACTTCAAGAAAATAGCCTCTTTGCATGAACTTCAAAAATCCGTTTTGAGAAAAAAAAACCTGGTGCTAAAGTCAATTTTTTTTACTAGAGCAACCAGGCGCTGATCTAGGATTTCTCCAAAGCTCTCCAAAAACACCATTTTAGAGACCTTAATTTGCAACCTGGGAACTTTTGAAAAAGATCAATTGGGCCCTTTAAAGTTGCGTTGTTTCCAAGCGGGGTTCTCTCAAAATCATTAAATTTTGGCGCCGAAGCGGGAATTGACCCCCTGACACCAAAACAATCCAATTTTTGGTACTATTTTACGCCCCGTAGCAAATTTTTTAGCATCGCACGGCCGCAAAGGGGTGTCGTAAAATAGTACGAAAATTGGAACCTTTGGAATTCAAAAGGTCGAATCCCTCAAGGAAGTAGCGTTGCCCCGCCGTCCCCTTAATCCATTACTTGCTAGAGCCCTCAGCTGCAATTGAAAGCGCTTTCCGGATTTATGAATGGAATCAGCTGTAGCTAAGAGTGACTTGCCGGTAGTATGTGGACTTATCTGAGCCCGCAATCGGCTATAATTTCAAGCCAAACAAATTATTTTGAAGACGGTAAAAAACTTTGTATCCAGCTTCCACATCATCTCATTATGTTATTTTTTATCTGAATATAAACTTGATAAATTGGTCATTTGAGCTAAAAAAAAACTTAATTTTTTTTTCCAAACAGAAAGAAAATTTGAACGCTATATTTGGCACTTCTCTGGCATGAAAATATGAATTTTTTAATTAACAGAAAACATTGTTAAAAAAACAGATATGATTGTTTTAAAAAACTTTTTTCTCAATTTTTTGTTTTTATTCTATTTTTCGAAAAAAAAACTGTTGTCGATTATGCCTAATTTACTAAATTTCTACGCGCGTATGTAGTTTTACCATTACACCACGTACAAAAAAACGACACTAATTGGAAGAACTCAATATTTTCTTGGAACTATCCTTGTTTGAAATTGAAAACTTTTGTTCGAACGTAATTGAAGTCAGATCACTCTTTGTTGATGATTCCAACTATTAAATCTTAATTGATTGGAAACTTCTAAAGTAATAGCACAATTTGACAGATTGACCAAAAAAGAAAAGGCTGCACTAAATTGTGGCTTCTGTGGCTGACTAAAGTCAAAAATCAACACCGCTACAGGTATGATAAAGGGTTGTGGTAAAAACCAAGTGTGAGAGAGGGGTCCCAAATCACTCTAAATTTAAGTAAATAGAGCAGTTTTTAAATTCAAAATGCGCCGTGCGGTTGTTTCAAAACTATTCCTCTAACGTAATTCACCTGCCTCATTTGCGCAATCTTATTCGGTACCTCAATTGGCATCACCTAAGCGTTAAATTGAACAATTTTGAGGCAGTCTTTTTTTAAGGATATGATTTGTTTCCTCGGACCCTTCTAATCGTATTTGTAATTCCACACCATATATTGCACAATGAAAAAACGATATGCCAAAACTGTGGCAAAAAAAATTGTTATGGTAACAAAGTAATCCAGCTGCTATGCAAATCTCATAAAAGGTTGCTTCCAGAGTTTTTTTTAATTGTCAAAGCTTTTGATATTTTTAAGGTCATTAAATTATGAATAGTTTGATAATAAAGACAAGAAGAGGAAAATTCTATATCTTCAAGCCAAAAATTTTTGGTTTT